CTGGAGTTTCAAGCTGTGTGCCTGGACCCTGGCTAGAAATTGTTGGAAAAGTGCGCGTATTACCAACGGTAGAAAATGATTTAGAGGTGTCCACAGCGGAGAGGGTTGCGACTGAGTATGGCCTTCTAGAAAATGGTTTGAGGAAAAGAGTGCATGATTGTCGTAATAGCTTGGGGGAGCTGGAGAGTTAAGTTATGTCCTCTGCATCATGTCACTAATAAGCTGTTGATTACGTGCCGCATTGATAGGAATCAGTTGGTAGCTGTCATTTCCATCCATGGGTGTAAGATCCGCTTACTTGCGCTCGATATACAGGGCTTCACTATACGCGGTGGAGGCACACTGGTGTCAATCCATACACTACCATCAGCATAATGCGTGTAATTCGTTGATGGGATCGGAAAGTCGTGGTACCCACTTACACCGGGTGTAAGGTGCAAAGGTGGTGGCCCGTCTTCCATAACTTTATGACCAATGGATGTACGTCTATCCAAGTAAAGTGACGATAAAGATTCGCCTAATGACGCTTGTGATAAATCTAGGTCAACCGTTCTTTTACTCTCGATCAATTTGACTGGATCCGTGATGCCTGGTAAAGAGATTCAAAGGTTGGTCAAATCGAATTGCTTACGTTATCCAATTACCATCAAAGTGTGATGAGTTCACAAGATGTTAAACGCTTACCGCTTCAAACTGATCTGAGCAAGATAATGGACTGCTTTTACGGAACCTTTTACATTCCAGTTGCAATCCAAGCATGGTATGACAACAGGAAACTTGGGCCACCAGAAGTACGGTTAAGACCATTCCTTCAATTAGCACAGACCTCAGATACAGATGAGCCAGCCTCAATTGTACCTATCTCAAACCAGCCAACGGTGCAAACAACCGTTTCAAAAAACTTCAGCAGACCGGCACTATTTGTGCCGGTCACTCACAGCGAACCGAGCTCCTGATGCGTCAACAAATACAATGCTGCTACACAAACAATTAGGGGTTGTACTCTAAGCTCTCGGAGCTGCACCACCGACATGAAACAACAACTTGGGACCTCATAGCAGTCACTGAAACTTGGCTCTCAAACGACATACTTGATCCAGAGATTGAACTCAGTGAGATGTCAGTCATTCGAAATGATCGTCCATCTCGCGGGGGCGGTGTTGCTCTCTACTATCTAGATTATTTGAAATATGAGGCACTAACCGAAAATTCCCTTGTTATTCCCGACGCACTATTTTGCCGACTGCACCTAGCTGGTCGAGATGTTGGTTCACAGAAGAAGAGTGATGCTTGTCTCTTAGCAGTTATTTATAGACCTCCGAACTCATCAGCAGACAGCGATAACATTCTGTTAAACGCCCTCCGCTATGCTGTTTCACAAAAGTACTCACACTATCTTATAATGGGTGACTTTAATGTTCCTTCAATAGCATCAATGTCCCCTAATGAGCCATCATTTAAATCGAAACTCCTCGAGTTCATGGATATGGCAGTTTTGTGTAACCATGTGTATCGCCCAACCAGACATCGCGGTTCAAACAAGCCATCACTGCTGGACTTAATCCTGACTAATGAAGAGTTGATGGTTGAGTCAGTAGCATACGATCCTCCACTGGGCCGTAGTGACCATTCAGTCCTAACATTTGATTATGTATGTTACGCCAGTGTTGTTGCTAAAGAAAGAGAGACTCAACGCACTATTACGGACTAGTATAAGCTGCGCAGCTTAGCAGCAACCGTTGACTGGGACCTACAGACGCATAGCTCAGCGAATGACGCGTGGAATGAATTGAAAGACAAAATTAACTGGGTCATACAATCAGCATCGAAGGTTGTACCATTACGAGCATCGCGCCGGACCAATACGTGGATCCGGAGCAGAACAGGTAAATGGATCAACAGAAGAGATGAAATCTGGAGGCAACATTTGCTAAGCCCATGTGATATCACATGGCAGGATTACAAAGTCATAAGAAACTACTGCACTTCACTCATTCGAGTCGATAAGTACGAATGGCAGGAGAATATGGTGCTGAAATTTACGAGTAACACCAAACTGCTATACAGATTTGTGAATGGCAAAAGAAAGGTTAAGCCCGGAATACCACCACTCAGGACAGCCAATGGCCTAACAACTACTGCTGTGGATGCCGCGAATGCTCTACTCTTGCAGTTTGGCTCGGTAGCTACAAATGTCATGGGACCTTCGCCCTATCAGCTCCCAACAAATGTCGTTGGCTTATCCAGCGTCACGTTTACTCCAGCAGCTGTTGCAAGCAAACTACAGTCTCTCCGGGAGTACAGTGCCCCTGGAATCGACATGATCTGCCCAAAAGTACTAAAAACCCTTGCTCCCACCATAGCAACACCACTTGCAACCTTTTTTCAGTGTCTGCTTAACTCCCATACACTCCCATCTGAGTGGAAAAATGGAATTATCACTCCAATATATAAAGGAGGTAAGCGCTCGGATCCTGCTAACTATCGACCTATTACTCTCCTTCCTGTTTTATCAAAAGTTATGGAATCGGTAATCGCCGATGAACTGACGAGATACTTTAAAAGTCAACAGATAATTTCTAATGCCCAACATGCTTTCCGACGCAGACGAACTTGTCTCACCACTTTGCTGATTACTCGGGACTTACGGACTAGGGCGGCTGATGAAGGAATGCCCATAGATGTGATATACCTGGATTTTTCTAAAGCATTCGACAGGGTCAATCACTTCTTTCTCCTCCAAAAGCTTGCTGCCTACGGTATCAACGGTTCCCTGCTCACCTGGTTGGCAGAGTACTTACACGACAGAGCAATCAAGGTAAGAGTAGCCGACACCTATCCTGAAGGCCTTTACGTCTCCAGTGGTGTACCACAAGGATCCGTCCTCGCCCCGCTACTGTTTTTAGTCCACATTTATAAGCTTCTAGCAGACATTCTATCTCCAATGCAAATATTTGCAGAAGGTGCTAAAATATGGAGAGCAATTCGCTCAGCACCCGACCGTGTCTACCTCCAGGAAGATCTGACCCCGATTAACGAATGGACAGAAAAGAACCAGCTCCCACTGAACCCTGCAAAGTGCCACCTGCTGACGGTGCACAACAGCTTCGTCAACACATACCTTTTGGGGCAACACGTCATGCAACACGTGACTAGTGAACGCGACCTAGGTATAATGATGCAAGAGAATCTTGGAAATTCGCTCCAGTGTTCGAAAGCAGCAAGTATGGCGAACTTGAACTTGAGACTTTTGAAGCGAGCTCTCGGCACCTTTGAGCGACGGCTAGTACCATTGCTGATTAACTCCTACATTCGTCCTCATGTTGAATATGCAATTCAGGCCTGGTGTCCATGGTTAAAACGAGACATCCGCCTATTGGAACAGCCCCAAAGAAGAGCCACAAAGGCAACGCGTGGACTATCCGGTATAAGTTACGAAATGCGTCTTCATGTACTCGGTGTGTTCTCATTAGAATACCGACGGCTTCGCGGAGATCTTACTCTCACATACCGGATACTAACCGAAAGCGAGCATCCATGTACATCACTGTTGACTCTAGCCCCATACAAACAAAACCGAGGCAACCACCTGAAACTAATGACGCAACACTCTCGTTTGAATTGTAGAAAGTATTTTTTCTCACTTAGAATCTGTTCTCACTGGAATGCATTACCAAACTATGTGGTGAACGCACCAGACATGACGACATTCGAAAGACTCTTAGATTTTCATCTAAGTGATAAACGATACACAACACTTTGTTAAAGTACAATGATTTAACCACTGATACTTTACGTTCCACGTTGGAACATTTTGCTTTTAATTTTCTTTTGCATATCCATTCTGTGGGTCTTGTAAAGTTATGCTTTTTATCCCATCATATACCATTGAACCATATGCGGGACTCCGTCTAGGTCACCAAACGACTCACCCCCATAAGCTAGGAGACGGGATCTGCAGAGTTCTCACTTCGAAATTGATACTGGCGTGTGATTCAAGCAGAATGCAGCTGATCAGGGGGTCCGAGATGATACCTAAAAAGAATATTTGAAGCGCGGATCTCTTACGGAGAATATACAGACACTTTGTTTGGTCGATTCCCCCCAAGTACCCTCGCTTACATGTACCCTCATATCAGATACTCAGTTCAAAGCTGGTAGCTATAGACATTTGCGAGGATACGCAACGTAGGGCGATCGACGATGTCATGTGCCTGTATCACTTACTCCACGAACCTAAACTAAGATTATTAGGATTTAAACGGGACGATATCTGCCTTTGTGTGGTGGAATCATTGTGGTTTACCAGAATCTAAATGATTCTAACCACGCCTTCCGTCTCCTAATGAAGTTTAGTCATAACAACAATCTGAAAGGCTATCATCTCAAACTAATAATTCAGTACAGCCACTTCCGGTGTCGTCGGAAAACAATACATCTGGTATAATCTCCCTGTGCATATGTCTCTGCCCCCACATTGGTTGTGTTCAGAGTCCGCGTCAACAGAGCGCTTTTTTTCTTATTCCACTTAACCCACGTAACTCACATAAATATCAGTAGGATGAAAGGAGAAAGTTCACATTTGCTTTACTAGAACAGTTAAAGATGTGACGTTGGTTATTGCACCAAATGTTATGTGAACGATTCCACTGGATAAAACTTGGATTGGTAAATTCCCTGTTGCTCTTTATTTCTTGGTTTCTTTTTCCGTAAGATCTAAATCGACCATACGGCGGGATGCCTAACTTTTGAGTCTTTTTGTTCGCAATCTATCACCGGCCGTTGGAAGGGATGGTGTGCTGCTGGCACCTTTCACCCAGCTTGTGCCAGTTCATAGTACAATATTTTTGCATAGTGCGAAGTAGGAGGCATTGTATACTCCTCTTCAAACAAGCTAATGGTTTTAAAATAAATCACTTTACATAGAACTGCCAATTGAGAGAATGTATCTTCGGTTTTGCAACTCTTCTCATTTTCGATGAACATCTACACCCCTACAGATCATGGAGGATAACGGTGAAAAATATGTCACGCTGGTTCGGCAACGTCACCTGCAGATAGTGGCTGACCAGTTAGTAGCTATGTTGGAAGTGACTCCGGGCAAGCGCATATTGCTCAATGAATTACTCACCGAATACCTGAAGCATCGAGGTTATGCTCTATCCCTGGAAGATTTCGGATTTCAAACAGTACAAGAGCTTGTCTCCCAGTTGCCAAAGCTGCTGCGCATAGAATGCGTTTCTGATGCAGATGCGCCACCAGTAATTTCGAGTTTACCGAATAATGATGGACTGATGAAAGACAACGCCGGCGAACCTACCGATTTACTACGTCCAACCTCAGTTATCCAGTCAGATTCAGTTGAGCGTGACACTCCTCAAGGCAACACCGAATCGGAACAGGTACCCATTGGTGAAAGCGATCAAACCAGAGTACTCGAGTTCGTTTCGTTAGCCGACCGAACACACATCAAGCACTTGACGCACAAGGTTTTGCTTATCCTTTTGGAGGTGCCAACTGGCGCACTATCGATTTCTTCCTTTTCTGAACGCTTCCGGTGCACGTTCCGCGACGAACCAAATATACGGCTTGTGTACGAAGAGTTGGGCGATGTTATTGAGGTCAGTCATACAAAAGTATCAATTTGTGTTTGCGTAAAGAGTTCGTATACTCGGAGAATCCCATCAATAGCACATGGTACATTGGGAACATTTTTATACATTCATTGTGTGAACTGCTTTCTACACGAACTCTCAGGCAGGACCACGATTCCATTTACAGTGCCAGTTATTGCGAATAACAGTTTCCCGGATATAAATGATAGGGTTGATTTGTTCTAGGAACTGGATATTTTTGCTGTAACACTTTCGTTGTCGGGTTTGCCAATATTGTCAGTGCAAATGCCATTAAAACGACTTACAAGTCCAATTTAAGCACTGGTAGCAATCGTTGCCATGGTCTAGGTGGCTTAAGGGTAAATGCCTCGACTGCTAGTCACCAATTCCTGGGTTTGAGTCACAGGTTTGCTATCTCTGCATGACAGTTTCAACCTAGTATGGCAAGTCATGGAGTACATTGTTGCGAACAAGAAACGGTTAAGACTTAAGACACTTTGCTACGGCTCAGTCAGTGGAGTAAGTTTAGACCATCAAAGGGCTATGTCTCCGGTGTCGTAATGGTGATTTATTTACCAAAACAGAGGAACCTCAGTGTACAACACCATGGTCATTTACCAAGTACTTTATACGACTAAATGATTGATTTGTGATCCCATTACCCAGTTAGTCACTAGAAAATCCAGTAAACCAATTGCCGTCTAACAGTGTTATCCCAACTGGTCGTCGCTTGCCCCAGTAAGCGAATCACAAAGAGTGACAGGTGTTTTCAGCCGCTACTTCCTGACCCGCACACATGCTTTGTGAAACGGAACGAAGCATAACTAAGGGTTAAATTTGCCGATGTTTAAAGTAGGGTGATTCTTGAGTCGATCGATTGTACTTCACTGGATCCGAACTGGAAGCCTAATTTATGAATTAAAAGTTAAGTGATCGCAACGAATGATGTAACAAACCTTTGAATAGTTGTTTGGCCGAGATCTTGGCTCCTGTGTGCGGGGAATGCGATTACCCTGTTGAGGTAGATGGAGAATAACCTTCCGCGGAGCTGGAAAAAATATATAATGGTTGGGTGGTTGGAAAAAGCAAACCGGGTAAACAGTGGAATGCGTGAGAATAAGCAACTCAATGGCCACCGAAACTCACTTATCATGCAACGTAGGAGTGCTGTGTTGCCGAAATAGTTTTCGTTGTTGATCTCTTCGCCAACACACCTAAACTGATGCAGTTGGGCACCGGATAAATGTGTAATACTCACGTTACCGTCCAATCGACTTGTTGCTTGTAAGATCAGTCTTCCTTGCTTTCTTTGAATTCCTCCCTCCGAATGTGAATACTAGATACTGAAAATACATTGCTATAAGGTATACTTCCCTGTTGCTCCCTCGATATATTATCTGACCTGCGCGCGAAACAACATAATCTATCACAGCACACTGACAACGCCGTTCGGCTGCGCGACGTCCTGTTCAGGTGCGATGCGCTCTCGTACTTTGCAATCCGCGAATTAAACGTCTATCAATTTCTTGCATCCTGACGCCGATGTCTTGGGTAAAGCGTTCCAATAGTTTACCATTCGACGCTCGAAGCACCGATGGCTAGCTGTCCGCTTCATGTCCGGCGCCACAACTTTGTATCGGTGCCCACGAGTGCTATTTGGTGCGCACGCGCGCAGAAGCGGTTTCATCACAGGGCGGTCACCCAGATGTAATATCCGGCGCCTTCTTGTTAGGTCCACTTGAAACCGACGACACGACAGAGTGCATAGTTCCACTCTCTTGCATCGGTCTTTATAGAGTACCCCGGAAAATGGTGATCAATTGAATTGCTAGAGCCAGACAGAATCAGTAGCTGCCTGATTGTCAGTAGTTCTTTGAGTCTATCCCTCGATGTGCATGCACACCAAATTTATACGAATTCCAACATGTTACCCCAGCTGCCGTCATTTTTTCTCTCTGCCTGTGGAGCATCAAGTTCCGCTCACTGTGGAATGTGCGACAAATATTTGCAGCTTGCAAAGCTACATGGGCAATCAAAATGATGACCGATCCAGTTCACTTCATTGCGCCTGGTCATGTCATGTCAAAAAGTATATTCACCAATCTCATCGAAATTTGTGTAGACTATAAATAGTCTGAAGAATTGGTACGAAGCCGTACAATCCATGAAATTTAAAGGAAGGTACAAGTTTCGTAAGAAGAAAATAAAGTGTGTTCCCTTTTACACGTAAGTTTTGCTTTTTTCTCATCTTCAATGTATAAAGAATAAACATATAAAGTATGAAAGACAATCCTGCATTTCCCCGTTACGCTGATTCCGATTGCAGGTTACATCTGCAAGCATTTACAATCACTGACACTCCTCATTCTTGGGTCTCCAGCCAGCAAGATGCATGAAGTCAACGACGACTAAACGTTATGTCAGGTTTTTCACTTTTTGTGCATACTCGAAAGTCTGATCACCATGAGCTCACCTCCAGCCCTCTCCCGCACGAGCTAACAAGATGCAATGAACAATGAACAATGATTTATCACGAGATAAAAGCAAGTGCTTGACACGTCCCGTAGGATGGTAGCGGTGAATATGATGCAATTAAAATATGTGTGGGTCATCTATCGAACGTCTGCCGAGATGAATACTTTGATAATTAAAATCAGTGTGAAATGAAGAAGAAATATCGCGCGTAAACATTCAGAAAGACACTGGGGCGCAGTGATCATTGAGGTAAGGAGTGAGAAAATAAAATATGGTCGCTCACTTAGGTCCATTTGATATATAAATCCCGTTGAAATGCATCCTTGGCGTAATCCACAACAGAGGAGCTTAGGTAACAAAATGTTGGGAGCTAAGAGCAACATCTAATCGTTTTTTGAAAACTTCCAAGGTAGGAGAAGATACCACTGTGTGTGGGAGTGCGTTCCATGGTTTGCAAACGCGAAGGGAAAAGTAATTCCGTCGACACTCTAGATGGCTGTATTGTTCCTACAATTTTAAGCAGTTACCCCTGAGCTGCGTGTTGTGGCTAAGTTTCAGCAAATGGCGGCACACGTGGTTGGGGTCACTCAATATCTGATACGTTAATATGAGATCGCCGCGCAGCCTTTGATAGCGCCCGCTGAAAATTCCCAACAACTTCTGCCTTCGGTGCTAAGATACCGCAGACCCTGCACGTTCTTTGTTGCTCTTCATTGTGGTGCCTCTATCGCTTCTAGGTCACGCTTCAACCAAGGTTGCCAAGCTTGGATAGCATATTCAACATGCGGGCGCACGTAGGAATTGTGCATCATTGAGAAGATTGATGGGTCAAATATCCCGAATGCTCTTCGCAGCATGCCGACATGCTGGTTGCCTCTTTTCGCAGCTACCTCAGCCTGTTTTGAACAGTTGAGGTTGCTCTGTACGATCACACCAAGATCACGTTCCTGGGAGCTATTCTGCAGTCCGTTGGTCCCAAGTGAATAGGTGTAGTTATGACTATGGCGTAATTGTACGACACGACATTTGTCTACACTGAACGGTAGGGCGTTTTGAAGTGACCAGTTCGACACTGTGTTAAGATCGCACTGGAGCCGTTCATGGTCATCCGGTCCTCTGATCCTTCGCCATATCTTGGTATCATCAGCGAAAAATAGGAATTTAGAAGTAATTGATCTCGCCAAATCGTTAATGAACACCAAGAATAGACAAGGTCCAAGAACCGAGCCTTGTGGTACTCCGCACGCCACATCGATTGCATCAGACAGTGATTCTCGGACTCTCACCACTAGCCGTCGTTCTTGTAGAAAATTACCAATCCAACTCAGGATTGGGTCGCCAATGCCGTAATTCCGAAGCTTGTGAAGGAGAACTCGATGGTCTAAACGATCAAACGCTTTTGAAAAGTTCAGGTAGATGACATCGACTCCAACTCCATCATCAACAGCTTCAGTCCAGCTATTCCGTGCAATTAATGGGTTAGTATTACACGAATGCTTTTGACGAAAGCCATGTTGCACTGGATCTATTAAATTGTGGCTTTCCAACTATTGCATCAGCGCGTCTGCGACGATTGATTCCATCACTTTGGATAGTACGGGAAGTAATGTTATTGGACGGTAGTTGGCAGGATCAGTGCGGCTACCTCCTTTATGAATAGGAGTGATGACCACTTGCTTCCATACTGGTGGAATAAGGTTTTCCTCTAGACATCGCTGATAGAAAACAGCCAGTGGTGCTGCTAGATCACTATCTACTGCCTGTAGAGCCTTTGGTCGTATGTTGTCAGCTCCGGGAGAACTGGATACGCAAGCAAAACAACTTCTTCAACACAGCTTCCGCAGGGAATGTGATGTTTTCTAAACCAGATGGTGGAGTATTAGAAATGAGGTGAATGTTTGGGCTCGATACTTGTTGGAACGTTTGAGAGTAATGAAGCCGTAGGAGATCAGCTGCTTCCATTGCTGATCGCGTGTATCCATCAGCCGTGACTAGCGCCGGAGCCCCTCGCTTTACCTTTCGAAGGCCGTTAATGTGCCTGTACAGGAGTTTGCGATTCGTGCAGAATCGCTTCATTAACTTCTGCTGATGCGTGACCTTGTCTTCGCGGATAAGTTTCACACAGAAGTTACGATGTGTCACGTATGCAGTCCAGGTTTCGGCATTCGGGCAGTCCTGGTGATTTCGTCATGCCAAATCCCTCCGGGACATACATTTACGTGTTCTGCTCCTCAGAAATGACTTACTCTGGTTTTTGGGTTGGAAGGACTTCTGTTCCGATGCTTGCGCTACCAGTGTGCTCAAAGTCCTTGTAAACATATCCCAGGCCCAATCTGGGGGGCATTCGAATAAGAAAGTCCAAGATGTATCCTTAACAAGCTTGGACAACACATTGTAGTGCGTGACAGTGTGCACTTTATCCTCCTCCTTTACAGGGTACACAGCATAGCATATATACTCAAAGAGTAGAGTGACATGATCACTACGACCCAGTGGTGTGCTTGTAACTATCCCGCTAACCATGAGTTCTT